GGGGAAGCTTGTCTTTACGCTGCCCTAAAACAGCCTCAATGGCATAATCTGAAGCATCACACATTAATTTAAATGGTAAACCCCAATCTGAGCAATGATGGATGTCAAAGTTAGAAGTGATTTCAACTTGTTGAACACTGCTAAACAAGCCTCATCAAAATTAAATGGTGCATTTTTAGCCAATAAATTGCACAAAGGTCGGCTAATCTTGGAGAAATTCTTGATGAACCGACGATAAAATCATGCATGTCCCAAGAATGATCTAACACCTTTTACTGAAGTAGGGGGTGGCAGCTTTGCAATAACAACAATCTTGCCTTTATCAACCTCAATGCCTTTGCTAGAAATCGAATGACCCAAAACAATGCCATGTTTCACCACAAAATGACATTTTCCCCAATTTAGCACTAAATTTGTCTATTGGCATCGTTCAAGAACTAATGATAAATTCTTCAAGCACTGATCAAATGAATCCCCGAACACAGAAAAATCATCCATAAAAAATTCCACAATATTTTCAACCAAGCCAAAAAAAATACTCATCATACAACGTTGAAAAGCAACTAGTGCATTGCATAACCCAAATAACATCCTCCGATAAGTAAACATCCCAAAAGGGCATGTAAAAGTTATTCCTTCCTCCTTTTTTTTCTCTTCTTCTTCTTCCTCCTCCTTTTCCTTCTTGTTCTTCCGCAGGTGGGGTTGTTGGGTTTTCAAATTTTTTTTTTTTTTGGGTTTGCAGGTGAGGGGAAGAAAATGAAGATGGGGAGAGAGGGGGGAGGGGAGGGACGAACTGATGGTTTTTTTTTTTTTTTACTTTTTATTATTATTTTAATATTTAAATAATTTTTTTTAGTTTTTAATAATATTTTAATGATTTTTTTAATAGAAAATGGACCCCGAATCAAGCCACGTCAGCATTTAACTGAAAATTAAACGGTCACGTCAGCATTTAGCTGAAAAATAAACGGCCAAGTAACGGAAGGTATAACATTTGACCAAATTCTAAAGATGAGGTATGACACTGTCAACTTTAAAAGATGAGGTATGAAAGTGTCATGACACCAATAGTTGAGGTAGTTTTTTGTACTTTACCCTAAATTAAATAGGCAAATGGTTTTGGATTGAATTGAATTTTTGTAAGGATAATCTATGATTCAAGACTTACAAAATAGATGGTTCGGATTTTGAAGTTTGATATGGAGTGGACCCCACACGTAATCCCCATTTTTTGAGGATGACTTTGCATAAAATGGCCTATATATGTATGTATATGTGTGTAATATATACGTATACATATTGTATATATACACATACACACACACACATACATACATACATACATACATACATACATACATACATATACATACATACATATATATATATACATATATATACATATATATATACAATATATATATATATATCTTCAAGTTAAAGTCCCCCCCCCCCTTCCCCCCGACTTATTTAAGCGTTGTCGACATTCTTATTTAAAGTTTTTGAAGTAAATCTCATATGCAGTGGCAGTAGGGGTGGGCAAGATTTAGTTTGGTGCGGTTTTGAGTGAAACCAAAATCGAAACTTTTTGCAGTTCGGTTCGGTGCGGTTTTGAAGCTAAAATCGAAATGAAACCAAACTATTTGGTTCGGTTTGGTGCGGTTTCAAACGGGTTTGGTTCAGATTTTAAGAAAAATATACAATTTAAAATACAAAATGCTCATTATCTCAAGCTTTACATGAATGCAATCAACAAAGAACTTTTTTAAAACAACTTATCTAGAAGAAAATTAGTTTCTACTAAGATCATAAATTAGAACTTGAAATGAAAGATATCATATATTAGAACATATTATTAAGTATTTCCCATTCTAGACATCTTTGAGAGTGCTTCTAAAGGGTACAAATTAAACTTAAGCAGTAGCTAATCAAATCGCTACAAAATGTCATAATCCATATATAAAATGAAACTAATCCCTTATTAAAAACCAATAAAAAGTCCTCATAGAGCAACCTTATTAGCTAGCTAAGTACCCATTGCCACGCAAAAATTTAAGGCTTTGGAAGAAGAAATGAATGAACGGTTTGCAACTTTACATGCGTACTCTATGCAATAGATAACATGTATGAATGATTCAATTTCTTGGACTCATGGCAGATATATATTATAATTGCCCAACAAACAGACTTGCATGGTTGCACCCTCAAATCTATGAGGAAGCTATGCATAATTTCCCCTGCAATTTCAATTTCTCAAAGTCCTTTGTGTGGAACATTTACCCGTTGATCACATATCCAGTGTAGGACAACGCATTCAAGTGCCCACCTCTACTGATAAGTGATGATATTATGTCAAAGAGAAAGAAAGTGATGAATGATGATATTCTAGTGTGGTTGAGTTCATACTAAATGCATGGACTCTAACAAACAACCAATTAAAACATGACATCTAATATGGACATTTAATTAAATGCTTATTAATATTTACTGTGCAGTTCAGTTTCGGTGCGGTTTTCAAAAGCTAGAACTGAAACCAAACCATTTCCTACTTTGTGGTTTGGTTTCAAACCAAACCGTTTCAAAACTACAAACCGAACCGTTCGGTGTGGTCTGATTTGGTTCGTGTTTTGGTTTCGGTTTTAAGTGCCCACCCCTAAGTGGCAGTATGGCACTGCTCTATTCGATGGATTAGAACCATCTCGATATGTAGCTGTGACAAGGATCATCATATTGTACCACTCATCCTTTATAGTGGCTCTGATTATAGTACTACAAGGACTCGCCAACAATATCATTAGTTCCATACAGATTAGAGTGATATCAAGCATAAATCAACATCACAGTTAAAAATGAATGAAAGTAACTCCCAATTAGTTTCAAAATAGTGATGAAAACCCCCCCAAGCAGCCCAAAGTCTTCCATGACCCCCGATTCCACGTAGGCTTAATAACCTTCCGTAACCATCCACACCACAATCTACTTGACAAGCTCCGAATACGTGACTTGTGCTTAGCATGAATAATGACTAAGGAAGCATGGCGTGATGAATAGGCATGAGCATGGTGTGAATATCTGGCTTAATCACCGTGACATGGCATGTTGGTAAATATATTTTTCGTCGATCCCTCACCTTGGCATGTGTTTGGGCTTGAATGTAGGCTTTGCATGACAATTGGGGCTTGAGACTCGGTTGGATTGGTGTATGACATTTTTAGGCCCCAACACAAATCATACTTGATTTATTGTCATATGTATTTTTACCTGCTCCCACATGTAGTGTAGTAATCTTTATTCCAGTCTTCTCTAAATCAATATACGGGGCAAACCTTTACATAGTGAGGAACAAATACAGTGACATAGTCTATTAAATGGGATTTGGATCCTCTCATGAGTCCAAGGAGAGGATCCTCCTAACCAAGCAGTGTGGGCTGTTGAATTTTTATCCAACGGCTATAATTAATATAACTTTAAAGGGATTCTCCTGTTTGTAGCCGTTGGATAAAATCTAACGACCCACACTGCTTAGTCAGGAGGATCCTCTCCTTGGGCTCAGGAGAGGATCCAAATCCCAAATGAGCCTTCCTTGGAAGTGTTGGTCATCACAAGTACCTCACCATCATCTATAGATATCGCAGACAAGTCAAATATATATGTAACAAATAACAGTTCTCCATTAGAAAATTGGAATGAATAATATGTCTTTCATAACTAATTAAGGAGATCAAAAAAACCCAAGTATGTGTGTGTATTAACTCTATAACGCATATGTTTTCCAATTTAAGTTATCTAGTTAAGAAGTGTACCACACAAGAAGCGCCAACAAGCGATGCAAAAAAATAGCTCACCATGGAACCTCACAAATTGAGGGAAATCTCGAGAAAATGTAGGACTTACAAACCTTATAGTGCATGCTCATATCACAAGGCTGTCTTTAGCACATCACTGCTTTTCATCATAAGCACGCCAACATGAATGAAATTACAATAGATTACAAATAATTTAAAAATTATACAAAGAAATAAATCAATAAATAATTAAAATAATGTGTTACTTATCTGTAAACTCTTTTACTGTATGAGTTCTGGGTGTTCCCTGAGATTCTCCATTTCTTAATTAGTTTATTCCTAGCAAAAAAAAGAATAATAATTTTTTTTTAATGACTGAATTTCTCGTTGTTTTATTCTTTTACAAAAACTATCGAATCATACATGTACGTTTTTTACGTACGATATATGCGTTGTAAGTTTAGTAATTATGATTCGGATCAAAGTAGGCTGTGGCAATTGCATATAATCAACTTCAAAAATCTGCTAACACATTACTTTAGGCACCAGATATGTGATTGAAATCAGTAATCAAACTGCATGACAGTGATTTATAAGTGAAAAAGAACTATTTTAACTATTTAATGTATTATTGTTTTCATAAATAACAATGAATCAATGATAAAGGAGCTAGAGTAAACATACTACTCTAGCTCACACAACTCATGCCTACGAGATCAAACAAGAAATCATTTCCAGCAGCGGTAGGCAAAAGATCAATCCCACAAGTCAACTTCATATGCATAGCCTCAATCAGCTATAGCATCCGCTAAAACGTTAGCCTCTCTATAAGAACATGCCTCCAAGAAATATGATGAAACATTGAGCAGTTTGTTTGATATCTTGAATAATATACCTAAAATCTTCATGAATGACGTACTTTTAAAGGATCATTGATCACTAGTTTGGGGTCCCCGTCAATGCAAACTTCTCTAAAACTTTTCCTTGTGTCTAAGGATAAATCATGCTGCAGCCGGTTGGCCTTCGGCTGAGCATGAAATTTTATTTTGAAATGGCAGATTGAGAGTAGTTAGGTTGGAAAAACTCATCACCGCACAAAGCAGAATGGCATGCATGCAAAAGATGCAAAAGGATGTGCAAACATCACTCCATAAAATTTCTTGTTACCTACTTTGCCATGTAGACAGTCAGAGTCCTTTTACTCTTTTACTTTACTTGATGACTCATAGATGGAGAGAAATGTTAGTGTCTAGGCCAAACTAGCACAACATTATCTCCCAGCTCCAAGTTCCTAAAAAACCTAAGGCCTATATTAGATGCAAATTAACAGGGGAGAGAGAGTGAGGTTGAAATGGTGTTGGACCAATTCAAAGCGAGTCCAACCGTTAATCCAAAGTTATTGTTAGTCCAACCGTTAATTATTTTTCAACTTCTAAAAAAAGCCACCAAAACAGAAAGCTTCCAAAAGCCAAAATCTTTGTCCACAAACATTGCCTCTGTCTTGGGGACTCACAGCCTATCTAGGTTGTCACCTCCTTCCCTCCACTTATAATCCAAACAAAACACGAACCACCCCTTTGAAGGGAAAAAAAAAAAAAAAACACCCAAAAAAAAGTAAAAAAGTAAAAAAAAAAAAAAAAAAAAAAAAAACCAATTACAATTAGTTTTAGACCCCTTTTTCAAGTACATTTGCCAACTCTTTTGTGCTCGAACCTCCTCCTCGCCCAGGAGGGATGGAGATAGAAAAAAAACCAACCAAACAAAACCCAAACCTTTTTCTATCCTCCTTGCCATCACCATTTTCGACACCGATGGCTCTCCTCCTGGTCCTTCTCTTCTCCCTCCTTGTCTCCCCTGCCTTAGTCCTTTCTGCCTCCTCACCACCCTTTACTCCCCAAGACAACTTCCTCATCGACTGTGGCGCCACCAACAAGGCCACCCTACCTGATGGGAGAACCTTCAAAATTGAATCAGAATCCACGCAGCAGTTGAAGGCAAACGATGACAACAAGGTCTCTGTTGACAAGGCAGATGTGCCTTCCCCCCTGTATTTGACTGCCAGGATTTTCAAGAGTGATGCCACTTACACTTTCCACATGGCAAGGCCAGGATGGCATTGGATTCGCCTTCATTTATACCCGCTGAGCAACTCGGTGTTCGATCTTCAGAAGGCTACGTTCAATGTCATGACAGAGAAGTATACTTTGCTGCATAGCTTCAATGTCAACGAGAACAAGAACAACAACACCAAAAACCAAATTTTTATGAAGGAGTACCTTCTAAACATAACAGAGCAGCAATTCTTTATCAAGTTCTCTCCCATGAAGAACTCTGCGGCGTTCATCAATGCGATTGAGGTGGTTTCAGCTCCTGATAATTTGATCACCGACACAGCCAACAACCTTCAGCCGGCGAGCCAGTTTCAGGGGCTATCCAAATTCGGTTATGAAACTATGTATAGGCTTAACATGGGAGGACCTCTTGTCACGTCCACGAATGACACATTAGGACGTACTTGGTTGCCTGATGATGCATACATTAAGTCAAAAAACATGGCCAAGGCTACATCTGTTGGGACTAGTACGATCAAATACCCTGATGGGCTAACCCCCCAAATTGCGCCACCAACTATTTATGCAACAGTCGTGCAAATGGCTGATGCTGTTGTGAGCAATCAAAATTTCAACATAACGTGGAATTTCCAGGCGGAAAACGCATTCGCGTACCTAATTCGGTTACATTTCTGTGACATTGTAAGCAAGTCACTTGGTAACCTCTACTTCAATGTGTACATTAACGGGAACATGGCGATAAGCGATTTGGATTTGTCACACACTGTCAATGGTTTGGCAATTCCGTACTACAAGGACATCGTTGTAAATGCTTCCTTGGTATCCAACGGATTATCAGTCCAGATTGGTCCTTCAAGAATGGACAATGGTGCACCAAATGCCATTTTGAACGGTCTGGAGGTGATGAAACTAAGCAATTCCGTGGACAGTTTGGATGGAGAATTCGGGGTTGATGGAAAGAAAATGGAAACAGGCGGTGGCGGGCCTCACAGAGGTGCAGTGGCTGCAGTCGGGTTTGGTTTGATGTTTGGGGCCTTTGTGGGGCTCGGAGCAATGGTTTACAAATGGCGAAAGAGACCTCAAGATTGGCAAAAAAGAAACAGCTTCTCTTCTTGGTTACTTCCTGTCCACGCCGGAGATACTAGCTTCATGTCTAGCAAGACCTCAATGGGGTCTCACAAGAGCAACATGTACAACTCCACCTTAGGCCTTGGCCGCTACTTCACTTTCCAGGAGTTGCAAGAAGCCACCAATAACTTTGACTCAAGTAAGATCATTGGTGTTGGTGGATTTGGCAATGTGTATCTTGGCGTAATTGATGATGGCACTAGTGTAGCTGTTAAGCGAGGAAACCCCCAATCTGAACAAGGCATTACAGAGTTCCAAACAGAGATCCAGATGCTGTCCAAGCTAAGGCATAGGCATTTGGTGTCACTGATTGGCTACTGTGACGAAAACTCAGAGATGATCTTAGTTTATGAGTACATGTCCAATGGACCTTTCCGCGATCATCTCTATGGAAAGAACTTACCACCACTATCATGGAAACAAAGACTAGAAATCTGTATTGGGTCAGCTCGTGGGCTTCACTACCTTCACACAGGGACATCACAAGGCATCATTCACCGTGACGTTAAGACAACCAACATTTTGCTTGATGATCAATTTACTGCCAAGGTGGCTGACTTCGGTCTTTCTAAGGACGCGCCTATGGGACAGAACCACGTCAGCACCGCCGTGAAGGGAAGCTTTGGGTACTTAGACCCCGAATACTTCAGGAGGCAGCAATTAACAGACAAGTCAGATGTGTACTCGTTCGGCGTTGTTTTACTTGAAGCACTGTGTGCAAGGCCTGCTATCAACCCAGCACTTCCAAGGGAGCAAGTGAACTTGGCTGACTGGGGAATGCAGTGGAAGAGGAAGGGCCTGCTCGAAAAGATCATTGATCCTCTCCTCGCTGAATCCATTAACCCAGAATCAATGAAGAAGTTTGCCGAGGCTGCAGAGAAATGTTTGGCAGAACATGGTGTGGACAGGCCTACAATGGGAGACGTGTTGTGGAACTTGGAGTATGCTCTGCAACTTCAAGAGGCATTCACTCAAGGAAAGGCTGAGGATGAAAGTAGCAACGCTGTGCCACTTTCCACCGAGGCTGCTGCCGTGGTTCCTCCTCCTACTGCCCCCACTTCCGCTAGCCGCCCGGCTACTATTCCGGAAGGCGACGAGGGTTCGGTTGATGCTCACCCCATTAATGACCAATCAGGAACTGAAGTGTTTGCTCAATTCTCCAATCTAAATGGTAGGTAAGTTCAGAAAATTTGGTTCACCAAATGAAAGATGATGATCTAGTACTATTTGTAGCCATGGTGGCCTAATAATTTGATCCTTCCTCTTGTTCTCTCTCTAATCGTTTTGGGGTATTGGGGTTTCAAGATCATAACAAAACTCTAAACTTTTATTCAATATGATGATGTACTGGTTGAGGAAATTATATACATATTTTAGTGTAATATTTTGTAATTTAATCTATTTGTAGCACAGATGCAAATTAGACTTTGAATATTTGTGTGATTACAGAAGGCAAAGTAAAACTGTAGCCTGTAGGCTGCATAGCATTGATTTATATACCAAGAAATATAAGCCTCATGCCATTGCAAAGATGCAAGTAAGATCCAAACGTTAAAATGTAACAAATGATCAAAGAAATTCGAGCAGCTCATAAGAATTTAAATACGATAGTCTGACAAGTTGAATGGTCAAAAACTTTCACAAATAACCGGTTATGTCGTAAGTATGACAAGTTGAATAGCTAAGCACTCTCACAAATAACAATTCCTGCCGTATTCCAACACACGGTGCAAATGAAGTTCTGTGTCCGCTTGTATAAAGAATAAGAAACAGTAGTGTAATACGCAATGTGTGAATTAGAGAAAGGAAAGCTTCGGAAAAATAATGGTTATGTATATATACAGGAAGCCTTTAACGAAATGGGAATTAGTTATGATGCTCACATCACACTGAATTTTAACGATCTGAACCGTCTATTTTTCAAGTTGCACCTCATCGATCATCCTTGCAAAATGTTAGCCAAATCGGAAATATTTGAAGCATCTAATTGAGTTGAAAGAAATTAACGAATACTTTGATCTCTAAAAAACATTGAAATTTCATCGTGATAATTAAATAGACAAATAATTTCGAATTGAATTGAATTTTCACAAGAATAATCTATGAATCGAGATTAACAAAATAAATGATTCGGATCGTTGAAACTCAATATGAAATGAGTTCCAGAACTAATCTCCATTTTTGAAGCAAAAGTGAGAATCGCTATAGATAAATGGCATGTATACATGGAAGGGGGCAAGATGCTCGTTGCCACCTCTTTGGTTTCTCAAGACTGGGTTTTGACTAAACTACCCCTTATTTATGTTGACTACATTTGCACCCTCCAATTGTCATCAGATACAAAGTACAAGTAACTGAGTTCAAACAGAAGCAATGAAATCTTTGACTTGGTTAACCAGCTGGTTAGACTCAGGTAATTCAGGAAACACATAAAACGCGTGGACCATGTTTGGATACTCGATTAGCTTCGCCTCCTTCCCCGATTTCTTCAGCCACTGGTAGTACCTCCTCTGCCAGTCTTGTAGCGGATCCAATCCCCCTGTGAATACAAGCGTATTCGGATACTCCAGACCCGCAATGTCCACCGCGTTCGGCCCACTCGGGTTCACCGCCTCGTGGTCCCGGTCCGACCCGTCTGGCAAAAACACTTTCCACAGCCAGTCCGTTCGGGCCACCGATACCAGAGGAGCTCCGTGGAGCCGGATCTCAGACTCAACCCGCTCTTCTCCCCCGAAAAATGGCTGTATCGATATCAACCCGACAGGTTTCACGACCCGGAATCGATCCTTCTCGCGGGCGGCGCGAACAGCCACGTGGTGGGCCAGGTTGGCTCCGGCGCTGTCCCCGGCGAAGAAGACTCTAGATCTGTCTGCATTTTTGGGGAGGACGTCGTCGTTTTGATCGAGGAAGGTAAGGACGTCGAACCCGTCGTCGTATTGGGAGGGGTACCGGTGTTCGGGGCAGAGGCGGTAATCGACAGATACGACGACGGCGGGAATTTTCCGAGCAAACTTGCGGCAAACGACGTCGTACGGGAATGAGGCGGGGCTGAGGAAGATGAATCCGCCGCCGTGGAAGAATACGACGACGGGAAGATGGGATGGAGTCGGCGACGTCGTTTGGGGGACGAAGAGGCGGAACCGGAGTTTGCGAGCGGGGTCCACAGTGACGTCGGATGAGGTGACGCCTCTGACGGGAGCGGCAGGAGTGGCTGAGGACTTGAAGTCGAGTATGTTCATGAGACGGCGATTGACAGTGCCGTCCGCGCGGCGTGCGGCGTCGGTTACTTTTGAGAGAAGGTACAACGACACCCGCGTCCTCCAGGGGAGAGAAGTCCATGACGCTGCAGTCTTTTGAGTATTGGATTCCAACGACGTCGTCATGGATGCGAAAGTGGAGAGAAAGTTTGATAGTGCGGGCGGCTTTTCCAGTGAAAATATAGGAAGGCCGGATGGAGAGTGAGTAATTGCGGTTCAGCGAACAGGCCAACCAACATCTAACTTTTATAGCTGGTGGGCCCACCTATTGTTTTACTTTAGTTGGGTTGTAATATGTCCACACGGTAATGGTGAGTATGACATGCCCGAATCAATGGTGGTGGGTTGGAGAGATTTTTCACCCTAAACACGAGTGATATTATGCAAGTAGTTAGAAGTTTTATTTTTTAAGTTGTTAATTTTTTAAATATAAATATTTTATTATTTATATAATAACACTTAATATATTATCTCGTGATCCGAATATACTAAAATTCTTCTTGAGAAGGGCTACCCACACTTTGTCTCTACTGCCCTAAATAATCTAAAATATAAGGGAGATTTATTGAGAAACGTAGTAGGTGTCTGCATTTAAAAATGTGGGATGGGGTTCCATCTCTTTTCGCATGTCGTTTACGTTATCATGAAAAGGATAGAGTAGTGGAGGGATTGGGACCATTGCAAGATTTGTATTTAATTAACCACTATACAAGATTGGCAATTTGGTCAAACTAAATATGCTGGAATATTTATATGTGAATAGACTATTTAAAGAGAAAAGCAAGATATGGAAATGATTCGATAGTTACAAACAGAGGTTCTTCCTAAAAGTTATAATAATTGTAGTCGTTGAATCAAATTTCAACGGCCCGAATTCATTGATTACTGGGCTCAATTTTGATGGATCTGAAGGGGATTTGGTTCCTGATGCCATCACGCAATAAAAGTTAAAAATTAAAAAGTTATTGCACCAGTGGAGAAATAATTTTAGAGCGCTCAGTGACAAGCTTTGCATTAGACCTGGCAATTTTTTACACGATATGTTAATACGACACGAAAATAATGAACTTCGGGTCAACACGATAACTAATCGGGTCATTATCGGATCACACCATAAGAACCTGTTAATAACGGGTCCTTAAAAAGTTTACACAAAGGTGACGCGCGGGTAATCCTTTTGACACATTAAGAAAAAAGTTATGTGATGACTTTAATTTTTTAAACTACTAGAAAAACTTACTATAAAATACAATAGTCATGTGTATATGTATATATTGTATATTAAATATGTATTATTGTATTATTATTCTATATAAATCTAAAAATTTAAGTTATTGTTGTGACATATGTTCTAATACATATTGTGATTGTGTAAATCTTAAGTAGAACTTCTACATTTGGGATCTAGAAGTTCTTTCGTAATAGACTTTTTATTACTTGGAGAGCAAGTTTCTCTCCTCTTTATTACTATAAAAAAAAGGCACAAGGACTAGGGAATTAACACACACCCCTCGGTTAAATATAAGCCACAACATGTTATCACCACGCTCCTCTGCTGCACTAAGGAATCTGACGTGGTTATTCTTCAATCAGGGGAGTATTACATTTCAATTATTCTTAATTGATTAAATTTTTGTTTTTCTTGAATTCATATACTTTTATTTATTCAATTTATTTTTCTTATGTTGAACGTGATACGAGGTTTGAAGATGGAAAGCCGAAATTGAAGAAATAATTTTCTACATCAAACCACTTCATCAATATAATTACACAATCAGGTTCTTCCAAAACAATGGTTTTTATCTCGACATTTCTGCAGCCCTGATAGCATGAACATTCACCATAATGCATGACCAAACTTTACGTTTTTCAAATTTTAGATTATACATAAATTGTCTATGCATTATATCCATAATTGTGGAATTATGTGAATTGATATTGCATGAAATTATACATAGATCGGTATTAAATTATATATGCATATAATTGAATCTGAAAAAAATATTAAAAAATTACGGTTTTCAACCCAAACGAGCCACGACTTTAAGCCACTTAACCCTGAGCAGCCAAGCCACCAGCCTGCCAGGCCAATAGCCTGAGCCGCTGGAGCCGAGCCAACCCAGGAGCCAAGGCACAGAGCCATAATGGCTCATGCTTCCAAAACCCACCTCGACACCTTCCATGGCGTCACCACCACCAAAACCAACTCAACCATGGCCTGCAGTTATGCCCAACCATCGTGGTTGCTTCCCCGACGACCTAAAGTCGTCCCCATCTTGGTTTTTGGCCGAGATTCACATAAATCTTGCCGAATTTTGAAAATTTGATTTTCAAATTCGAAGGTGCCCTAGGGTTCGTAGACGTCAAGTTCTTCAACACTCTCTCGCTGGCCTAGTTTCTCTGATGAACCCCAATTCGAAAAGTCATCTCTGTCCTCAAACACAACTGTTAGCAGCAGCAGCGCTGGGTTTTCTTCCCCAACAGCCATACCTAGCATACACTAGGGTGTTCTTGAATTGACCCAAATCCCTTATGGGCTTTGCATGTTACGGCTCGCAGCAAAACAAATTTTTGTTTTTGTTTTTGGGCCTGCTTGCAGCAGCCCACTGTCTTTCCCTGCTCAGCCCGCATGACATAAGCCCATAGGGCCATGGTGTCTCAGTGTACCGTGAAGCACACGATGGTGCATTCGTGCCTACGAAACACACGATCGCTACCGCCGTTTGGTTGCTAGACCTTACCCAATTTTGGGCCTACTTCCTGACTCTCGGCCCATGACCATTCCAACCCATTTTTTTTGGGCTTGGATCCCATTCCTTTTCACAGTTTTTAAAAGCCTATTAGGGCTTTGGTCCAATGCCTTGGGCCACCAATTATATTGCCTTTTTTTAGGCCTTATGGGTTTTAATTTTTTCGCCCAACTTTTAATTTTGGCCCAAAGTCCAAATAATTAAATTATAATTCTAGACCTGAAGATCTATTTGCACATTTTCTTGTTCCATATTTTTTTTATATATTATGTTTGTTTACAGATATTATGAACTTGAAGTTCATAATTCTAAACCCGTAGTTTCGAAAAAGTGTCATATAAACCTAAAGTTTCTTAACACACAACACTCATGTTGAAACCCGAAGTTCTCCATGCTTAAATCCGTATAAACAAATCATGTCTTAGAACCTGCATGTTCTAACTTCGCTGTTTATGGAAATTTTATTTCCTAAAACACCAATCACATTCTTGTTTCCAACATTCAATTTATTATCGAACCTTAACAAGTTCGATTTCACTGATTTGGAAGTTTCGAACAAGAAACTACTTTATGTGGATACAAGACGTGACACCCTACTTGACTACGACTAGTTGCGAAATCATTGTAACCAATTATGGAGTGGAAAAGCTGAATAAGGCTCTGCCATGATCTTTATTCAAAGACTTATGCCTGAAGCATATCAAATGGAAGTACCTCACTACCAAGGACACCATGGCCCTTTGACTCGCTATGGACCGTTTCAAATCATGCAAAGATGAATTCTTGCCCGAAGCAAAACATGATTGAAACCTTTACGTCCATGAATAGGTACAATTCTGAAGTTTATATCCGATCAAATTTTGACTAGAAGAAAATCTTTCTCGTCCTTCTATATCTAAATTGCTCTTAATGTAGCAGTATAAAGAGCGGAAGTTTACCAAATTCTCAGATTTGATTACCACCACACCTGTGAGAGAAAAGTATCATAACAATTCGGATGGGAGGTACCGGACGATATAAACCCAGTTTCGGCTATAGTGTACCGAATGGTGGTGCCCTCCTTCAGCAGAGATGCACCGACTTGCATGTTCTGTTTCGGCAGAGGAGCATTGAACGGTATTGCTCTGCTTTGGCAGAGGCTACGAAATAGACCCCTATAGTTTCGACTGGAGCTTACCGAACCTAAGTCTGGGTCTGTCTCTTTCTTTCATACAATCTAATTTCGAGTTTGTTTTACAACTTATGGTAGAATATGGGTCTGCCAAGAGGTTGTATCATGCTCGAAGCATGATCATTGGCACCTAAGACCTAAAAATTTCAAGAATGCAGGATAGTACTCTCGAACCTCAACCCTGCAGAATCTAACTCCATTTTGATGGAATAAATCATTGGTTATGCACTTTTCTGTGCTTTTACCAATGTTGTTGAAGAGTACCATTCCCATAGTCAATTGGTGAGATTGATTTTGCTCCACCTAACACATTTGGCGAGCGAAATTTGACATGGAAGGCCTTACTAGCTGAACCCCCTTGTATATTTGGTTTACTTTGTGAATAATTTATTTTGTTCTTGGATTTAAGAATGGTGTTTGGATGTCACTATTATTCTTGCATAAGAATTAATTAACGAAAATAATAGTGACATCCAAGAATGGTGCTTGGATTTAAGACTGCTAACTACAATTAACTCATGCTTAGGTATGTTTGGGGAAGTTAGTAGACTAGTTTTATGCTAACTTCATACCTAAGCATCCCCTGATAACCTTTTAGGCTTATCCAACCTGATTTGTGGGGTATGGCACTACCCTATATTGTCTAATGGTACTAATTTTACTATAAAGGGAAGCTTTATACTCACTCGTTCTGGAAGAACGCCTTTTGATCTTTATGGACTGATTCAACCACCCTGCAGACCATTTAGATAATTTATAGTATTGGTTGATGCTTCTACATGTTGGTCACATATGTAGCTGTTGTCCACAAGCTACATTCTCCATACTGGTGGCTCAGATTAACAAGCTCAAGACTCATCACCCTAATTATCTGATCAAATTTATTTGATTGGATAAGTTGAAGAATTTACATCAAAAACTTTCAATGGATATTGCACGTCGGTTGGGTTTTGAAGTTAAACATCAAGTACCCCATGTTCATACCCAAAACGACCTAGCAGAAGCATTCATTAAGGGCCTTTAAATGATTGCGTGATCGTTGGTCATAGGTACCAAGTTCTCAATCTCTGCTTGGGATCATGCAATATTGCAAGCAGCCATGTTGGTTCGCTTGAGGCCTGTCACGACCCAACCTTATAAACCACGTGTCAATTAGTTACTAGATATGAACCCGACATATTGCATCTACGCGTCTTTGGTTGTGCGGTCTATGTGCCATTTTGTGCCGCCCTTACGTACAAAATATAAATAAATAAAAAAGGGTCTTTAGGGAATGATGGAAATCTATGTCAGTTATGATTCTCCTTCTAACATTCGTTACTTAGAATTGTTTTT